CCGGTTTCGGCAACCTTATGTCACTTTTAATTCTTCTCCCTTTGTTTTCCAAAAAACTGTCTTGTCAGTTCCCTAGTACTCATCTGTCAGTACAGCAGGCACCTGCTCTGATTCCTCACCACTTCTAGCTTGAGCTCCTCTCTCAGCCTTTAGTTGGCACATTATACCTTTATCTCTTCATTCTCAGAGTACCCCATATATAACTGACTTGGCTTCTTAGAACAAGTTTTCTTAACATTAAAAAAAATATCCTCTTGCCATCTGTCTGTGCACTTTGCAGAAGTGTCTGTTTAAGTCTTTTGCCCACTTTTAAATTGGATTATGGCCAAGGGACATATAAAAACATACTCAAAGTCACTGATCATCAGATAGATGCAAATTAAAACGACCATGAGGTATCACCTCACACCTGTCAGAATGGCTACCATTAACAAATCAACACATGACAATGTTGTGTGGATCTGGAGAAAAGGGAACCCTTGTGCACTGCTACTGGGAATGCAGACTGGTGCAGCCACTGTGGATAACAGTATGGAGTTTCCTCAAGAAATTAAAAATGAACTGGCCATTTGACCCAGTGATCCCACTTCTAGGGATATATCTTAAGAAACCTGAAATGCCAATCAGAAGGAATACTGTATATGCTCCCTTATTTTCATAGTGGTGCAATTTGTTGTAATAGCTAAAATCTGGAAACAGCCCAAGTGCCCATCTGTAGATGAGTGGATAAAAAAGCTGTGGTACATCTACATAATGGAATGCTATGCGGCAGTACAAAAGGTGGATCTCTTACCGTTTGAGGCAGCATGGAAGGACCTGGAGAGCATTATACTCAGCGAAATAAGCCAGTCAGAGAAAGACAAGTGTCATGTGATCTCACTCATATGTGGAGTCTAATAAAAAAATAAACTGATCAACAAAATAGACACAGAGACATAGAAGCATAGAACAGACGGACAAATCTCAGAGGAAAGGCAGGTGTAGGTAGGTGGGTGGATGAATGGGGAAAGATTAACCAAATAATTTATATGCATATATGTATCACCCATGGACACATACAATAGTGCAGTGAAGGCCTGGGGGAGGGGTGGATGTGGGGTTGGAATCAAGGGGCAGAAAAAGGAAACATCTGTAATACTTTGAACAATAAAGATACATTTTTAAAAAAATCCTCTGTTCCGAAGCCAACAGTCATTTTAATGTTCAGGCTGCTTTCCCTGATTACGGGTGAAATTCACCCTTTCCATACTTATTCCGATTGAGTGAATTACTAATAATGTATACTCTTTTCTCCCATTAGAGAATGTTCTCATTCATTAATAATAATGACATATCGCTTCTTTGGAGCCTGCTGTGTGCCAGAACTGTTGGACATGCTTCACATTCATTCTGCTACTCCCAATTGTAATAAGTAAAATGAGGGCTCTAACATGGTCCGTGCTCTCACAAGTAAGATCGATTCTTAACAAGTGCTTAATACATGCTCTTTTCTCCTGCCCTGCACTCCGCTTCCCACATGCGGTGCTTAGTGCCACCCTTTGCCTTTGTACATGGTGTTCTCGCTTCCTACAATATTTCTTCCTTTTGGTGTATCCAGTTCATATTCCCTACCCAAACACTGCCTCCACTCATTCCGTTCTCGTGGATCTTTCCTACTGTCAGAACACTAATCTTACCTAATACGTAACAGACAAACATATAAATTGACCATACGTCCGCTATACCACCAGCCAATCAGGAGTGATATGCAAATAAACCCATCCAAGATGGCAGTTAATTTGTATACTCAGCCGCTTTGTGATGGGGGCGGGGGGTGGGGGTGGGGGAGACATGCAGGTGTTCTGCCCCACCCCCAGTCTCTCAGGGCCTCTGACAGCATGGGAAGGTGGGGCCGGAGCAGAAAGGTGCTGGGCCAGCAGCCAGGGAAAGGAAAGCCCATCCTAGCAGGAATCTTCATGCATCAGGCTTTTAGTGTAGGATAAGGAGTTTGACATGGTTTGCCTTGTAACTCCCTCTTATCTTTCACTTTTTCTAAAAATTTTAATAGTGCTTTACTGGCATCAAATACTTGTTGAATGAATACATTCTCCCCTTCTCAAGTAGACATCAGCTTTCTGGTAAGGTTAGCCCAGTCCTCAATTTCTTCTCATCCCCTCAGATCTCAGCAATGTGGGGGAGTCCAAGCCGTCTGTCATTTGGAACTTTCATGGGAAAATACTTTTTTAATACCATGCACATACATACACTTCAATGAAGAGGGGCAATAAAAGATTCAGAGATAGAAGTCTGAGAATTAGGTAAATTCAGAATGAGATTCATCATCCACATGTTTTGGGCGATATTGAAAGCTGTAAATTCTGAGCGGGTATTATAGGTGAAACACTGAGCTAAGTGTTTTACATTCATCATCTTAGTTCTTAGAACCAAATTGTTGGGTGGATGCTCCTGCAGATGCTCAGAAGGGTGCCCTAGCAGCTTGTAAGCAACAGAACCCGGTTTAAACCAGGTAGTTTTTACTCTAAACATGCGTCTTTCAGCCCTATTCCATATATCATCCTATTCAGCCTCATTGCTGGGGTTTTCAGCCCTTGAGAAATACCTCCCTGTTGACGTTCACCGAGTTTAAATACATTAGATCATGCTTTTGTTTCCAGCATAAACAGTCAGTACGTGTCAGCCTTTATTTTCTGCCATTTTCCAGTTTACACCGAACTGTTCATGACATTGTCTTCCCCTTACGCAAGCTTCTCTTTAAAGGCAGAATCAGCTGTTTATTCTGTATGTGAGCTCTGGATATGCATGCGTGTGTTTATATGTGTTTGGGCGTCCATGAGGGTGCCGAGGATTTAGAGAGTGAGAATGAAAAGTGAGCTGCTTTGCTACTGTTTTCCATCAGCTCTCTCGTTGGAGTGTATCTGCAAGGATGCCTGCCTGAGTTCACAGGGGGAAGCAGGTGATGGATGGGTCCAGACCCTCAGTGTCTCAGAAAGAATCTTGAGTATTGATCTATTTTGTGTGTTTTCACAGCACAGGATTTTAGGCAGTGTTTTTAAGATCTCGCATTTCATTTTTCTGCAAATTGGAGAATGACGGAACCGTGGAAGGAGTTAGAACTCTAGTTTTTATTTTTGTGTATACTATCCAGTGCATTTAAGAAATAAGACTTGACTAAAGAATAACCAGTTTAGTGAGAATAAGTAAAGCCCTTTTGTTGGAAGTTAAAATTTTTTATATAGTTTCAGACATACAGAAAAGTTATATGAATAATATAAGGAACTCCTGTATACCCTTAACCTATTTTAAAATAGAGTAATGCATTAAAATTTTTTATTTATTTAATGTTTGCATTTTCTAATTCTACTAGATGCCCAGTGCATGAGATTCCTGCACTGGGGGGGGGGGGGGGCGGGGGGGGGCACCTCAGTCCTGCCTATGCCCTGTCACAGTCTGGGAGCCCTTGGGGGATGCCCCACTGATGGCTTAGGCCCACTCCCTGGGGGGGGCTGGCTTAGGGCTTCAGGCTGAGTGGTGCTCCCCCTATGGGAGCACAATGACCACCAGGGGCCAGCTCCTGCATTGAATATCTGCCCCCTGCTGGTCAGTGCACATCATAGCAACTGGTTGTTCTGCCATTCGGTCAGTTTGCGTATTAGCCTTTTATTATATAGGATAATAGATCATGTTGCTACCACAGTGGTAGAAAAAGATTTTGTTAGCTAGGCCTGCTCCCTGCCACCAGGTTTCATCCTATATAATAAAAGCTTAGTATGCTAAGTGTCTGATCGGCCATTCAACCAATCAAAAGGTAATATGCTAATGATACGCTAAAGCCACTCAACTGCTTGCTGTGACATGCACTGACCACCAGGGGGAAGATGCTCTGACTGGTAGGTTAGCTTGCTGCTGGGGTCCAGCCAATTGGGACTGAGCGAGACAGGCCCAACATGCCCTGGAGCCCTCCCGTGACCCCTCCCCAGCTGGCCAACATCCCACGTCCTTCCTGGACCCTGATCATGCACCTTTGGCCTGGCCTGTGCCCTCTCACAATCTGAGCCGAAGGTCACACCCCTCCCCCAAGTGCATGAATTTCATACACTGAGCCTCTAGTTGATATATAAATGACATATAACACTATAAACTCAAGATGTACACGTTGGTTTGATACATTTTATATTGCAAAATGATTGCCACCATGGCCATAGCTAACACTTTCACCCTATCACATAATTAACATTTCTGTGGTGAAACATTTAAGATCCTATGCTTAATTTTAATGGCTCCTAAAGGTTTTTTTTAAATGGAGATTTTCTTCAAGCATAATGTTTGTCTCCTGGCATTCAGTCCCTGGCCCTCATACTTTGAACCCTCTCACAATATTCTTACAGATCAATATTAAAAGATTCATGTTTTAAAGTTTTAGGGGAATTCCAATTTGGAGTTTGAGGCTAAACTACTATTCATTGAAAATAAATCAAATACTATTTTAGTAGGGTTGGAAATATGAGAACATTCCAGCAAATCCCAAGTGTAAGAATTCTACTGAAATAGGAATGAAAAGTGAGCCTCATTTTATTTTGCAGTTGTAGAACTATAATATTCTAGTGGCAAAATGGAAGTTTTTTTTATGGTTCAGTTTTAAAATGATGTTTGAGCTGACTGCATTAAAACAGTGTAATTAAAAGTATTTGTAAATTTACTACCCAATATGCTGTTTCTTAGTTATGTCTTAGAATAAGGAAGTTAAATATTTAACTAAGATTTTACCACATGTACTTGTTTTCATATTATTTAGATTATGTTAGAACCAAATTACATAATTTGTGAGAACAATTTAATTATAAAGTTGAAAAATACATGCGAGGTATTTTTATTTCATTTATAGACGTGAACAAGAGAAAAAAAAAGCTGTTTATTTAAATAAGGTGAATAAACGAGCCATCTTTTATCAATATTTGCATGAAATTATACATAATTTAATTAATTTGCATTTTCAATTTCAGATTCAAAACGCTAATGATGTATTAATTGCTCCGCTTGAGAAATTTCGAAAAGAACAGATAGGCGCAGCAAAAGTAAGTGTTTCGTTTTATTATTCCTCAGATATTCTCCTGGTAATTAAAGATGACATAATTTCAGATGTTAACATTTGGATATTAGAATGACCTTTTAAAAATTCTGTACGCCATTTTTAACTTTTGCACTGAGCCTATTACAAAGACCGGCATTTCTTTAAACATAAAAGACCTTCTTCTACTGAACAGAGAAAAAGTCAGCTTCAGTGAGTTCCTTCCATTACCGCAGCTGGAGAGAAGCATTTGAAGAGGGGTGAAGTTAGGGCAAAATTACGAGCTTTGCTCCTAACATCTATAAAATAAAAATTAGGCAGAGGGTATATTGAACATTCATGCAGTTTTAATCAAAAAACTTTTATTACTTACTAGAGGCCTGATGTACCAAATTCTTAAAAGGGCAGGCCTTCCTTCCCCTGGCTGCTGGCACTGGCTTCCCTCTGGCACCGGGGACCCAGGCTTCCCTCACAGCCCTGGCTTCACCCGGAAGGTTGTCTGGAATGATGTCCAGTCTAGTTAGCAAATTACGCTTTTATTATTATAGATTGTGTTTTTTCATTATTAAATAAAACGTGTTTGTGGGGGCGGGGAAAAACCTTGGACATGTTTAACAAGCCTTTCCAATGATCTTTAGTTGATTATGTCCCAATTAATAAAATTTCCCTGAGCCTAATATTTTTGAAATTTACTCGCACCTGTTTTCTTAGATCTGCATTTTAACTACCTGCACAACATTATGTAAGGACATAAACTTTAGGGTTTCCAAAAACAGAACTCATCACTTCACCCATTCTTTCTCAAAATATTTTGGTTTTCCATGTAGTCGGTGACATAGCCCTTTCCCATGCGGGCAGAACTCTCCATTCTAATGCAGAATTATTTTTTCTCCTTTCCGTCTGAAATATTGAAATAGCTTACTAGTCGGAACCGGTTCGATCTGCGGACTGAAAGGTCCCAGGTTCGATTCCAGTCAAGGGCATGTACATTGGTTGCGGGCACATCCCCGGTAGGGGGCGTGCAAGAGGCAGCTGGTCGATGTTTCTCTCTCATCGACGTTTCTAGCTCTCTATCCCTCTCTCCTCCTCTCTGTAAAAAAATCAATAAAATATATATTTTTTAAAAAGAAATAGCTTACTAGTTGGTCTCCACACGCACATCCCAATCTGTCATCTACCTTCCTGTCTGTCATTCTTGGATAGTGATCTCTCTGAGAGACAGTTTTCTCCTGGTAAGGAGCGCACTCCACACCGCACCCATCTGCTGCGTTCATCATACCTCCCTCCTCTGGCACAGTTGCCTGCTCACCAGTCTCTGTCCATGGATTTGCCCAACCTTCCTCTCTCTCCGGAACATTCCTTCCCCTGGTTGAGGTCGTGCTGACTCTCCATGACTAATCACCCAGCACCAGAAAGAAGCCTCCCATATGCAGGCCTCATTCATTCCTCTCCCAGAATGATATTCCCCCCTCATAGCATCCAGTAGTCCTAATGCTTGTTTCCTGTAAAAAGCTATCACAGTCTGCCCTCATTTAGTTTTTCATACATTTCTTCACTATTTATGGAAAATTATCAAGTCCAGGAGTAAGCAGGAACTATTTTTGCGTTAATTAATGCAGCAAATGTTTATCAATGTCCTGGCTGGCCTCCTTGCGACAATCCTGGTGTTTGAGATGAAGGGCTACAACTGTACACAAGACAGGCATGCTCCCTGCACTCGTGTCCTTAATTATCTTTTGTGGAAAACAGACACCAAAGGAATTGCAGAGGCACTGATGTCCAAGTGCAGGGTGCTTTCGGAGAGGGTAATGAATGGGACTGACCTTGTCCTGAGAACCAGGACATGCTTTCTGGAGGAGGGACTGGTTAAGCAGAGAAATACATAAAGGAAGGGAAAGAAATAGCCAGCTGTTGGGCATACAGGGGTGGGAAGGGGACAACCTTCCATACCTTCCTGAAGAAGGAACAAGGTGGGGATGAATCGAGGCCCCGAAGGAAGAGAGAGGCCGGCATTTTAAAGGAAAAAGATCCAGTGTGTTCGGAATATAGAGGACCATGGGAAGAACGGAGGACGGGTGCATTTTTAAATATTACGCTAGTTTCATGTCACGCATGGATTGGAGGAGGCGAGACTGCTTTTGTGAAAATCGGTTTGTGGGCTGTAGGTCAGTGGCTTTAGATTCAGAAGGAGATAGTAGCGGTGGAGACCAGGGGCATATTTCAGAGGTACAGTGGAAAGGGGGTAGGAAACAGGTTACACAGTTAGAAGTGAGGGACAGGGCGTTTCCGAGGTAACTCCCAGGTTGCACACTCCAGTGGTTTCGCAGCTACTTAGGGAGACAGGCAACGTTGATGTTTGGATGGCAGGATGGTGATTTGGGTGATTTTAGACATGACTTCGAGGTTCCTCTGAGACATCTCCACGTGGAGACATTGAGTTGTCAGGTGTGTAATCGGCTTTGAATTAGAGATACACCTTTGGGAGTTATTGTTCTCTAGGTGGTAATTAAAGTCATCGGGGTTAGAGTAGATCTCACTGGGAAAGAACAGAGTGAGAAGAGGACCTCCAGTCTGTATAATCTGAAAACTCTCAACGTTAATGTTTGGAGAGAGAAAACTCTGCGGTGAAAGGAAGGAGCAGATGAAGGAATAACAAGTATGTGGTATTCCAGATCAAGGAAGACTCTTTTCAGGAATAAAAGTAGCTGATCTCTATTGACATTTACATTGTAGTGATTTTCACTGAACTATTACGTCTGCAGCCTAATTAAATCCTCAAAGCAACTTTGTGTTACCCCTGTTTACCGTAAGGAAAATGATGAGTGAGATTATGGAGCTAAAGTCAAGCCTTTTTACTTCACAGCCTTGATTTACAATATTTCACTTCATTAATTTTTATAAAGCTTTATGAAAGAGCTTTGTGAAAAATCCTTTTCATAGTGCAGAATATTCCAAGTTTTCTACCCACCTAAACAGTGTATTTCATTTGTGTATGGATCATTCTTTTTGTTGTTGCTGTTGTTTTTGTTGATCCTTACCCCAGGATATTTTTCCATTGATTTTTAGAGAGAGTGGAAGAGAGAAGGAGAGACAGAGAGAAACATCAATGTGAGAGAGAAGCAATGATTGGTTGCCTCCCGCATGCACCCCGATCAGGGCTAGGGATCCTGCAACCAAAATACATGCCCTAGACTGGAATCAAACCCGGGACCCTTCAGTCTGCAGGTTGATGCTCTATCCACTGAGCCAAATCAGCTAGGGCTGGATTATTCTTATATGAATGTTTACATTAGCTATAGTTGTAGTTGAGTGAGCAATTACACCCATTTTATTTTTAAAACACCTTACTTCCTGGACAGACCAACTGAGAACACACAGTAGAAGGTTAAACCTGTGGTTAAATGAATTCAAATGTGCATAAAGATTATGATTCATGGTCCTTTGGTGATGGTGATTCTGTGTATTTTATCTGATGCTCTTAATGCTCAATTCTTTCTAAGCTGCTAAGTAGTTGTGCTTTAGTAAAGTGAATAAAGAACAGGCATTTTCTTCAGACATATATATTTGAGTCCTTTTCTTTTCGTTTGGTATTGCAAAAACTTTGTGGTAGAAGTAGAAATCCTTGCAGGAAAAAAAAAAATTTTTTTTTTGTATTGCTTTGCTCCCTGTTTTACTTAGGTATTTTCTCACTTGGTAAATAAAGCTAATTCTACAAGTGACACTCCGCTGCTTTCCACAGTCTTTAGAGCAAAGGTTCCCACAGCGTGCTCAGGCCCACGAGCCAGCTGGAAGGCAAGAGTGTCTGTTAAGTTAAGTGTAGAATCTTCCACTGCAGTCAGCAACCTCCTTCGCTTGGTCCAAGTGGAAAACGCTGAGTCAAAGTGGCCCTCTCCTTGCAACCAGATGATCCCATTTAACTGGAGTGGATCAAGGCCATGCACCACAAACGTTTCCTTTGTAGTGTGTTCTGCGGAGCTTTGAGCCACCTGATACTTTGCTGTGGAGGCCCTGAGTGCGTTCCAGTGGAGCGGGAAAAGCACCAGGCATCTGTGAGAGGCATTAGGAAAGGTTAATGATGGGGTCGTGGAACTCAAGGACAGAGGCGGTGGGCCTGCTTTGTGAGCAGCTAAAGATTAGAAGAATGATCTATAAACAGTTGTCAAGAATGTATTTGTTTAAGGGTTCTGAGTCTATTGGTATTCGCAGAATGGAACTGCATTGCAGGCCTGGCCATTGCGTGCGTCAGTGTGTGGGATGGAATGTTCAGTTTCTTTAATTTGGCCAAACTGAATTCTAGAAATGAGTGGAAGTGTAAGTGGGTATTCAGAGCTGTTAATTCCAAACTTTTCACAATATGAGTATATCGAGAGCAGCATTATAATAGAGCAGGATGAATTATTTCTTCCCCACTTTTTGTATAAATTTCATTGATTATATGGGAATTCTCCTTGCTCCCAGAGAGAATCAATTGTAAGTCCTATCTGCATTTTCCACACTTGTTTCATCACAAATTAACTCTTACCAACCAAAGACAAATCCATTATAGGTGTGTGTGTAAATATATATAGTTTCTCAAAAATGGCCCTAGCCAGTTTGGCTCAGTGGATAGAACATCAGCCTGCAGACTGAAGAGTCCCAGGTTTGATCCTAGCCAAGGGCACATGCCTGGGTTACAGGCTCAGTCCCCAGTAGGAGACATGCAGGAGGCAGCTGATCAATGATTCTCTCTCATCAATGATGTTTCTCCCCCTCTTCCTTCCTTTCTGAAATCAATAAATATATATATATATATATATATATATATATATATATATATATATATAAATGTATACACACACTTTTAATAATTCTAAAAGCAGTGCTTATTAAAATGCATTTCAGCCTTAGCTGGTTTGGCTCAGTGATTAGAGCATCGGCTGACAGACTGAAGGGTCGTGGGTTTGATTCCAGTCAAGGGCATATACTTCAGTTGCAGGCTCAATCCTGGAACCTGGGAGAGGCAACCAA